GTTTGTCTGCCTGTCGTCTGTTAACGAGCGGAGAAGGGGGGAACAGAACACATATCTATATTTTCTCCATGATGATCCATCCCCATCTTGGTCTTTCCAGCCTTCCAAGTGTCTCCCCATCACCATTATATAGTCCCACCATCTTGCTTCTGGTTGCCGCCGCCTTCTACTTTCTTCCATCTCTCCCAACATCCGAGGCTCTTACAGAGAATGGTGTCTTCACTTAATAGGATAATTTGAACCTGGTCATATGACCCTTGAGTAAATATTCCGGGTTGGTTGATCCAATGGTTCATCTTTGGTATTCTCAAAAGTGAACGGAGATTGTCCATCATTCAGGTCATGGCTGTCCCAAAGGTGCTTTTCCAAGAGACAATCAGACTTTTTTTTCTCCCCTTGAAGACATTTTGCTTCTCATCCAAGAAGCTTCTTCAGCTCTTGGATGAGAAATGAAACGTCTTCAAGGAAAGACAAAGTTGCCTCTTGAAAAAAGCACCTTTGGGATATTCTCAAAAGTCTTCCCCAGCATCAAAGTTTAAAGCATCAATACTCTTATCGTTCTTCTCCATTTTAGAAACTAGTCAATTGTAATAACATACAAAAATAGAGTTCCTTCTTCCAAAAACTGTATCCGTGTCCTTCAGCCAATGTACAAACTACGATTTGATGACACAAAGATGAGCTGCTTTTTAAAGGCTACTGGCCGCAACTAATTTTGGGGTGAGATTGACAAGGAGGTTTTTTTTTGGGGGGGGGGGGGGCTTCCAATGCAAAAAGTCTGCTTTTTATTAAGAAGAAAAAGAATAGCATTTTTTTCAATGTTATTTTTCCTCGGGCTTAAATAAACTCTGCTGAAATGATACCAGGATGGTCGTTGTTGTAAAAATTACTTGACGGTGGCGTGTATTAAAAAAATGGATATTAAATTATTTTTGTGATTGTGCTAAGTCTCTTTTGAGGTGTACATTTCCAGTTCTGGATTATCCCAAAAAGTGGAATGAAGCACCAGGTCATTTCTGGCAATCAAAGGGAGTTTGAAGAATCCCGGAAAAGTTTGTGGACTATCTGAAGTTTGAATTGTTCAACGCTATGATGGAAGGAAGAGGAAAATCAGACCAGCAGGAATGGGGGGAAAAGAGTGTTTCTAAGCAACAATAATGACCAAGGATAGCAACATTCCATGAATTCCGTTTGACAGTTGGCTGGAGAGAAAAAAAATAGATGGAAAATTCTCTGATGGGTTACTCGGTGGAAGGATGAATCTTCTCAGCTTCTTTTCTTCGGAAGCAGCCTCTCCTCAATGATCACCACTGTTCCATCTTCTGCTTCCCAGGCTGGCCGAAATGTCTTCCAGCATTTCACTCCTTAGATGAATTGTCGCATTCAGTGCAGGTAAGTGCCTTGCCAAAATGACAGGGAAGGGCTGTTAAGTGTCGTTGCTTGAACAGGTTCAGGCTCAATCCCTCCAAGACGGAGTGGCTGTGGTTTCCGTCACCCTGATTTGCACATCTTGTTCCATCTTTGATGATAGGGGGAGAAATTTTAGCCCCCTCAGA